CTTACACAGATCATCACTCCAAAGCTAGGTCATGCTACCAAGAGAGAGAGAGCTTAAATTCTAAAGTTCAGTTGTGTCGACCGAAGAAACAAGTAAGCAAAAGTTTAGCCATGAACAGAAGAATAGAATTGAAGGCAGAATTGAGAATCAGAGTCCAGCAATGTAAATAGAACCAGGAAGACTGCTCTGTGGCACATGCAACACTATTTTAAATGCTGTGAAGCAAATGTATGCAGAGTAAAGTCTATAAGTGGGCCAAGTGAGAAGGCAGGCACTCAAAATAAAAAGGAGCTGAGCTCAGATATCAAGAATGATGAAGGGAACTGCTTGTCAAGGCAGATGGGAACGTCTGGGCACAAATGGGTAGAATTCACAGCCCTGCACTCACCAGATGGCAATAAAATAAGACAGCTCTTCCCTCTATTCCAATCCTTCAGAATTGGGAGACATGAGGATCAGGTGACAACCAGGTTCTGCAAATGATATTTTATAAATACATCATTTACAAACTTAAAAGCCTTGGAGAAAATTATCAGGGACATGCATGTGCCATCTCCTTCCATTAAGCAAACATGAACATGCCTTACAAAAATGTTTGAAAGTGTGATATGCTGCATCAAGCTGTAAATGTAGAAGGAGGAAAAACTGTGCCATATCGATTCTGTATTTATGAGATGCTGCTGTGCAGTTGCCAAGTTATACTAACCTTGCTGGCACAGAAAGTTAGAAATATCTGCTAAGCTTGATTACCAGGGAACTCATGCTTCTGTTTCAGGCTTTCCAATTTCACAAAAAAGACTGGTGGAGGCAAATGGTCATATATATATAGAAAGCAATTGTGTCAGTCCCCTAGATCCATCTAACTCAATACTGTTCACATTGACTATAGAGATTAGGGACTGAACCTTTGGCATATAAAGCACTTGTTCTATGATCAAGCAACAGACTTACTCTCAGTTACAACAGTATCATCTGACACATCACACAAATTATGTTCCCCTCTTTGTTTTTATGTGCCTTCAATTTTTTTCTGACTTAGGATGACCCTAAGGCAAACCTATCATGGGGTTTTCTTGGGCTAAGAGTGTGTTAGTCATCCAAGTTAACCCAGTGGGTTTCCATGGCTGAGCAGGGAATTGAACCCTGGTCTCCAGAGCCATAGTCCAATGCTGAAACCACTACACCATGCTGAAGTGGTATATTCCACAAATATTTTCTTGCAAAGAGATTATACACATTCACTTCAGACATTAAGTATTCCACAGCAAAGGAGAACTGCTCTAGTTGGAACTAAAACTGGATTTATTCCATAGGCTGCAATCCTACACTCACTTGTCTCTGAGTAAACACGATTGAATGCAATATCTAGATGTGTATAAGACTGCACTGCAATTCAGTTTTCAGTTAACACATACCTGACCTGGGCTAGAACTTAGTGGGTATGATTCCCAGCTTGGCCATGAAACCCACTGAGTGACCTTGGCAACACTCTCTCAGCCTCAAGGGAAGTCAATGGCAAACTTCTCTGAACAAATCTTGCCAAGAAAACCCAATCAAAAACACCTTAGGGTCAGCATGGTCAGAAACAACTTGAAACAAACCACCACCACAAGAAGAATTTAATCTGCACAGAAGAGACAAGGAAGAGTGAACAAGCTGTTCTGGTCAATGACCCTACAACAGGAAAGCTCTAGAAGGATACAGGATTTCTTCTATCAATTCAACACGAGTTCAATATCAATTCAATACTCCCCTATAATCTTAAACTTATGTGACCTATCTCTGCATATACACAGTACATTCCTATGGGTTACTGCACTGCTGAAACACATTTCATTCAACTATATTCATTCTACTGCTTGAAAATACCCTAAATCTGAACAAAACATTTCATCCCTGAATTTAAAACAAATACAAATATACTGAATATATCTAGGACTGCAGAAAAGCAGAGACACTGTCTAAGCAATGTATAAAGACAAATATTCACACTATTGGTAATGTCCATGACAGATTACTCTACAGCTACATGTCTCTAATGACACTTGGAATAACTAGTAGGCTGTATGACCTACATTGAAGTTAGCTAAGTGAACAAGTCTTCTTGTCTCCAGGTAAAAAGAGATGGAAATTATGTTTCATAATCTAAATTTGCATCCATTTGTTGCTAGAATTGTACATTATTCATAGCACCTTCTTAGCCAGGCTTTCAGCACTGAATTTTGTCTGGAGGGAAGCCTCAGAGGGTTCACCAGTTCTTCAATATGTTTTTGAGCCCATGTTATCCATTCAGCGGATGCAAGCACCACCCAGTGGCAAATACATATCAACTACAGCAAGCTGTACCTTATACTGTATAGTCTTGAACATAAGTGTTCTGACAGTAGATTCTGGAAAATAAGAAATTATACTAAAGAAGATGGAAGTATTCTTGGCCCAAAACCTTATAGTTAATTAATTTATTGTTTCGAGTCTACAGATTACAGAACTTCTTGGAATATCTTTTCCTCAAA